ATGCATTTCGGTGTTAATTAGCGAAGAAGAACATGCTAAATAAATGCGGAAGATTTTTAATATTTGATGTTTATAGCTGGATTTTCCTTGATTTCTATCTGATAAGCCTCTTAAAATATTTACTTTCAATAATGGATCTATGCAATTAAGCATTCAGTGTAGCAAAATCAAAGATTTCAGTTCGATTAAATACAAAAATAACCCAAATGAATATAAATTGATTCAGAAAATCTCGTTAGTTTACGTTTGCCCATCCGAAACCCATGAACTTCCGCATTAAAGTCTTAAAATATGATGACAGTCCAACGTGAAGTACTTTAAACCAATCACACATTTACCCCCCGTGCACAGAGCAAGACTCTCCGTGCTGGATCGTTTTTCCAATTTGCTGGCGCACATCAAAAACTAATAGTGAAATGTAACAATACAAAATGTAACTAAAATGTTTTGAAAGACAGCCAAAAACACAAAACGCACACTGGACTCAAGGGGGGTTGGCAATGTGGCGGAGAGGACAGGGTATGCAGCATATATGGCAGGAAGGAAGCAAGTGGAAGCCACGTTTATTTCATCGTCTAAATGGAGTGCACTATGGCCGAGGCAGAGGCTGCTGGCTGGTGCGGAGCTGATGGCAGGGCTCGATGCCATTTGTTAAGTGCAAGTTCAATAGCATTAAGAGTGCAACACAAATAACCATAAACCATTCGAAAAAGCTGCAAATTCTGCATATTTTTGCAAGTCGGGTACTTCCTTCCATACTGCTCTTTGTGAAGGGCTGGACGAGGGTGTGGAAGGTACATTTTCAATTCTGATTGGTAAGCCAAAAAATATCGAAAATTTGCGCTTTTTCATCCAGCCAGCTCTGTTGTGTGCAGCATTAGGATTTGGCATTACTTTGCCAATGCCATTTGCTTGAAGATTACGCATACGTCCGATCGATGCTCTCTGGCTGTGTGATTTATTGTGGCGCCTCGCTGTCCACTGAACCACTAGTTCAGAGACGCCAACGGCCGGTCAAAGAATTTCTGGCCGACATCCTTAAGTTATTTCAATATTTACACTCGTGTAACATATGGCCAGAGGGCTGCGTAGGGGCGGCACGATAAATGGCTGGGGCAAACCACAATGATTTACTGCCCCAGTCCAGCCAAGGCACAGCACACACTTGACCACGAAATACATGTACATGGAAACACCTTTTGGGGGTGTACAGAATGTTGCTATAATTCTATTTTCTACTCAAAACCGCATTTATATTTATTACTTTGGCATAAATCTTGTCGCATTTTCACATTTGTGTCGAATTTGTCGAGTTCGCATGTGCTTATATATTCACATAGGGTCTGGACCGAGAACTCCCCCCATACTCTCTGGCACGTCCACAGTTTTTTCTCTCTCTATTTTTCCTCACCTGAGAAGGCAGGTCAACAGGCTGCTGGAGCATCTACCTTCTGCACCTGATGTGTGGGGAAGGCTACAATATATGGGAAATGTTTTTCTGGCGTTATTGTACATGAAATGAAGTGTACATAATTTGGCATCACATATTAAGGTGCATAAATTTTGTGCGGTGTTCCAATAAAAGCATTGTAGTTGTCAAACACCAAGAGGGCTGCACGGAATGTTCTTTCAGTGGTGTGGAATGGTGGATAAACATTAAGTTCCCTCTACTACTTAATTCTGATTATGTGATTTACATTAACAACCACTGGGAATAGTTTTTTGTGCAGCTTGAATTTGTTATACATATGTACTTCTAGTTGTCAATGACTGAAACATTTAGAATTCAATTGCTTGACGCACGTATCCAGAAGAGTGTGCAATTTTTGTCCAATAATTTCGACTGTCGACAAAATCAACCTGCCATCCAAATTGTTCAAATATTTGGGCAAAAACTGCCTGGACAAAATGTCAAAGCCAGTGAAACTATTCGGCTCCTGGCCATAACAGGCCTGTCAAATATGTAAATTTTGTTGCCCGCCCACCCCTTCTAACTGCCTGACTGCATGCCTAGAAGAGAGGGTCAGGTCGTGTCCCCAGTGTAGTTTTGGGGAAGGAACGCATTTTTCAGACAATTATTTATAATTGGTTATGGCATGCGTTGGAGCTGTGTGACAGGCGCAGAATGTGCAACAATTAATAGCTGTTAGGCACAACAATTGCTGATATTAGTTAAATTATCTGGCCGCATGGAACTCTGTGCAGAAAGATAGTTTGAAATCAATTAGGTTTCGCATTGGAGGAGGAACTTGCAGCAGGAGCAGGCTGAAAGAACGGCAACAAAAACACGCCCGGAGCTCAAATTGTCAGCCAGGGATAGGCAAGCAAATTTCTTAACCTTTAAGGGGGGGGGGGGGGGGGGCGTTGCACATGGGGCATGGGCTGGGGCGGGGGGTTCATTGTGGTTCGTTGGCTGTGCTCGAAAAATAACAAACTTATTGTTTAGATTTTGCCAATGACAGTTTTCCAGGGCCCTTAGTGTGCACCGAAGTAAAAGAAAAGCAGGATACAAACACACACAGGCAGGCAGACGGAGGCAAGGAGGCAGTTACACTAGGAGCCAGAGCACTCGAATGGCAACGGACAGCTCCTGTTCGCCAGTGGAACCGCCTCTCTACCGTCTCCACTTTGCATAAATGTGGCACAAATATAATGCAAACAATTGGGAACTGCCACTGTGGGTGGTGCTTATGTAGGAAGTGTGACGAATGTGCCTTTTGCACATAAAAGAGACACACCAGATACAGAAACCTAAACTTAGTCGTTCGCTTACTTGAATTAAAATGCTGAAAGCTATCAGATTAAATATAATATGTATGGTTTATCAGCCACTCAGCAACTATAAGATAACTCAAGTAAGACTTTCCCCTCCGCACAGAGGTGGCAGTCTATAATTTGATCAAACTCAATTGGAGTGAGCCCGGGGGAGGCCTCTCCTTGGCACTGACATGACTGGTGGCATTCGTGGCGTACCTTTTGGCGTTTGAAAGCTGTTTGAAATCGCGACAGCTGCTGTCGCATATTCCTTCACTTTGTTATTAACTGCGTTGCCCTTTTATTTTTCACCACAACGAAGGATGACTGGCGATGGAATATAATTCACTTTCAGCTGGGGGAAGACCTGTGCTGTGACAGCTTCCAGCATCCGGACAGATGCGTGGATGCATGAGGTGAGATGGATACAACGGGGTCCTGTCGGTGGGGCTGTCTAATTTGAAGTTGAGCTGCGAGCAGCGAGCTGCGAGCTGCTGTCTGCCACACATAAACCAATCTAACACCAATTTGCATTTGATTGCGATTCTGATTTGATTTTCTCGTTACGCGTGGAAAGTTCAACATGAGTGCCAGCACCCGGCAACCAGCAACTGGCAGCCGGCAACCGGCATGGCGGTGACAAAACAAAATTAGAAGCACCATTGCCACTCGCATTTGAATGTCTGGTGGCTGCTCCAGTTGCTGCCACAGCAACCAAGACACTCCAGAGTTGCACACTGGGAACACGCTCTCTCCGGACATCTGGCCGGCCACAAAGTGCGGTCGAGCTCGCTTCCATTCAGTTTAGCGTGGCCGGAGCAGAGCTGATAACTAAATCAAGTTCCAGCTGTAGTTATTCTCTCTCTCTCTCTGTCTCTTTCACATAATGACACACTTTCCGTTTCCGCTTTGGCTTTGGCCAAAAACAAAATGGCAGTGCTGCGGCGGCAACCAACTTTTTGGTTGCCACCCGATCAATAATTGCTTAAATAAAATAATTGTAATTGCCAAAGCAAGAGCAAGAGCAGGAGCAGGAGCAACCAAACAATAGCGAACGATTGCTAGCGAGGAACACCCACGTTAGACTTGCCATTGGCCACCGCCCACAGTTTCCGCAGTTGGGTTGTTGGTCAGCACTTGTCGGGCGGAATCTGCTCTACGCTTCAACTCTTTTAATTGCAACTTTTGGTGCCAACTGTACACAGGCTGCGCACAGTGCGGCTTGAGCCGAAAGTTTCATCCTTCGCCTCAACCCGACAGCCAATATTGGGGATTAGGAAAGTTTTCTCCAGCCTTTGACGCACCTTAAATGTTTGACTTTGAGAGAATTTAAAAGCTAACTTAGTGTACTTCTAGGAACACTAGTTCCATCACTTACCCAATGCAGAATCATTGTAGATCGGTCCCCTTCAACACTGGCTGCAGCTTCGACCACTTTATGAGGCTGACCATCGGCACAAACATTTATAGGATGACACTTTTTTTTTTCTCCTGCTGCCTGCTGCTGCTCGGCAAATTTGCGGCATTGCTTTCTTGTGTCAATTATTTAGCTGCTTTTTCCGCTGGCCTGGCCTGGCCTGGCCTCAGCCTGGCCTCTGCAGATTTTAATTGAATCTCATATACAAAGCAGCAGCAGAAGTGGAAGTCAAAGCCACAACAGCAGTTGCAGTCGCACAGAGGTTGAGGTAGAGGCAGAAACAGAGGAAGATTCTGAAGCAGAAGCAGGCACAGCATCAGTGAAGGCAGGCAGGCAGCTCTTCCTACTCCCCGTGTATTGTGCTCTCCGAGTGCGGCATTAGCTTGGCCAGTTCCCGCTGCTACCGAACGCGAGCTCCAAGCATCAGCTACGCTCAGGCCACGCTGCACTGATGTCGATGTCGATGTCGATGCCGTCGTTGGTATCAGGCACTTTTATCGCCGGCCACATCTGCACCAAATAAAATAATTGAACGTTTTGCGATAAGCATCACTCGCAGCAGCTTCAGCTTTAGCTCTATGTTGTGTCCAAAGAAGCGGTCCCAGCCAGCCAGCCATGCGGCAGCAGCAGCAGCAGCATCCCCAATCTTCTCTCGGCCCAGCTTGGCTCGGGATCCCTGCTGCCGGATTCGTGTACAGCAAATGTCATGTTTACAGACCGCACTCAGCCGATTTGTGTCAAAGTTGAGTTTAGTATCTATAAAATTATATAATACACTTCCTGATTTCATTTTTTCTAGTCCTCTTTGTTTGCTTTTTTTCCTTTTTTTTTTGCAATGAGCTGAAATCTAGTTCAGTTCAGTGGCCGCTGCCTCGGGTCCTCCACTGTTTGGGTTTCCCTTGTCTTTACAAGCCGCGGCATTGTTTGGCTCTGGCCCTATGCTGGGCACTGGATTTGGGTCTGCCAATGCCAATGGCAATGGCCATTGTGCTGCTTCTCCCTTCTTTGTCTGAACTTGAGAGGCAAGTTAATGTTGCACTGCAAAGAAGGGAATTACAAGGAATTAAAATCGATAATGGATGGCTGCAGTAGCCCACTTTGCAGGCATCTATGAATATTTTGAAATGCAATTTAGGTAACGAAGCTTAACGCTTACTTTAATTACAATCTTAAACATTAAGTTAAAGTATTTTAAAGTACCACTCACCAAGTGTGCCATTGGCAATGCATTGGCTGCACAACAGCTAACTCAACAGTATCACTTGCTCCAGTTTTCGTTCGCTTTTTGAAGTACATATTTGCAAATATTTGGTTTCTCCTTTAACGATGTGCGGATAAAGTGCTGCGCAGTTAATAAATAACTATCCAAAAGGGACAGATAGCTGCAGGGCAGACGAGTCTGACCATGTTGTGTGCCGGTTTTGATTAACTGTTGTCAAGGCGGAAAGCAGCCGCGGCACGAGCTCCCTGATGGCTCTTTCCGATTGCTTCTGCTGCAAATTACTTATGCATTATTATAACTTTGATTCCCGGCTTATAGAGGCAGGGGCAGGGACAGGTTGCAGGTCCCACGTCAACAGCAGCAGAAGCAACACAAAACGAAGACGCACGCTCATTTATCTTGATGTGGACGCATCCTCTTTGCCATCTGATGTTGGCCCTGCCAGCATGCAGCGATTTTTCAACAGCGGCGCGTTATGCTGTCTTCATTGTGGCATTATCTGCAAGCGCGGTTTCTGTTTCTGTTTCTGGTCCTCCTTCTGCTTTGTTCCTCCTTTTTTTGGGGTGCACACGTCAGCGGAGCTGCGACTGATAAGGAAACGCTGCGAAGTTGCTACCATTTCTGCATTGTACGCTAAAATATTTCTCATGTAAGGGCCCCGCCGACAAGGAGACTCTGATTTGGCGCGGCCAATGGGGGTTCCGTCTTCCACTCTCTTCGATGTCGTCCCTCCCGCAACGTTGAGGACCATTTAAAGCACCAAAGGGTAGATCTGAAAAACTGATAACGTTACGTATACGCTCGACTGTTTTTCCTGTATTTACTTACCTTTCAGCCGCATCCCAGTGCTCGTCCCGAGCCTGTGAATTATTTTTTGACAACTCTCTGGTCATCGATTAAGCAGCTTAAGGCTTATCAGCTATGCGGCTGTCGGTTGTCGATTGTCGGCTGCCCCAAAAAAGGGGAGAAATCTGAAAATCTCGGTTACTGACCCCGGCACATAAAGTTAAGCTCTTGGTAAATACAGTCGCGGCTGCAAAAATACACAGATATGGTTCTTTTAAATAAATATTGATATTTAAAGATACTTATATACGACAGACAGCGAATTATTTCATCAGAACCTACAATCCTTATACATCAGACCAACTTCATGGACATCTTTCTGCAAAAGGAATAATTAACTTTGAAAATGAAGCAATACTAAGAAGAATAAGAGTAACCTTTGGCATCCACCAACCTCATCATACCACAGTTGTGAATTGCACGGGGGCCCATCTCGATCCAAAGATCAGCTAGAATCAATTAATACAATGAAAAACTTCTGCTGGGAGCACTCTGTTTGCCCAGATTCCAGGTAAATGCCAAGTTCAAATGGATTGGCAGGGAGATATGTATGTAAGAAACAGAGGAGCTCCCAGCTAAACGATTTATTAATGCAAACTGTCTACGACAGTCTGTGTAGCATGTGTCTATCGACTGGCTGTTCATTTGATTCTTTTTCGTTTGTTTAATTGAAATGAATTCATTAAGCCTTTGATTTGCCTTGCAAATCGATGGCCACCAATCCGCTGGGAGCTGAAGCTGCTACTGGTACTGGTACTGCTGCTGCTGATGGCTGTTGCTCTCCTTACCTTTGACGTCTCGACTCGGGCGCACATCAAAGCGCGGCCAGTTTGCTACCAACGTCATGGCCGTCCGTGGCTCTGCAATAATTTAAAGCGAATTAAATATACGAAAATTAACTGCAGCAACAGTTGCTCCACTTCCAGTTACCAATTCCAATTCCCCGACTCTGTTGCCCTGTTGCAAGCAACAGTTGCACGTTTTGCATGTCGGGAAAATTGCTTCATTTATGTCCGTGCGACTGTCAACAGGGAACATGATAAAGCGAACGGACATAATGAGTGACAGACTTAGAGGGCTCTCACTTTAGTACTTTAGTAGCAGGAAAGTTGCCAGTAACAGGGCACAAATTTAATTATGGCTAGTGTCAGTAGAATTTATAATACCCTAAAATGTCCATGAGCATGTCCCTTAAACAAAAATATCATAGCCATTAACTAACATTTTCATAAATATATAAAAGTACTTTTGGGACGTTTGCAAAAACCCGAAAATGCCCCATTTAATGGGTACAAAATAAACCAAGTAATTCAACAGCAACAACTACATGGATGCTGCAGGACCTGACCAGAGTCAAGAGACTCGCCGACGCGTTATGGGTACGTGCCTGCTTCAAAACTTGGGCCAAGCGTACTTCTGTTCGAGCGTAAAATTGTTGCACTCCCAGGCCATGGCCCGAATGGGCTCTTTGATGGAATCAAGCTAATGGCACGTGCTTATCGAGCATATTGGGTGACATAATATCGACAGTGGAGGAGCAGCCCACTATCAAAGTAAGGATAAGTGTGCTATAAAAATTGAATTTGCACTTGAGATTGCAGATTGCTGAGCTCTGAATTTATAAGTTGCACCGCCACAAGGCTAAATGCTGGCCAAACACAGACTTGAATTATTTCGAGGGCTGGCAATTATGCAATCGTTTTGTGCTGCAAACAAAATAAAGCCAAGGATCCGTTGGATAGTTTTTGGCAAGCAGAAAGACAGACGGACAGGACAGACACCAACCATGTTGGCTGAGTGGATTCGGGCGGACCAAAAACTCCAAATCGATATGCAAATAAACGAATGAGGCGTACACACAAATCGCAGAAACGAGCTAAGTTGCCACGCCTTTCCGTACCGCCCTTCATCCACTGGTTGGCTCTCTCTCTCTCTTTCTATGGCCAGCAAAAAGCCGTTCTGACCAAATTCGTCGATGGGACCTGCATTCGGTCAGATTCCGAATCCGATTCCAAACTGCAACTCTGTGAATCCAAGCTTTGGTGGTCTTCCATGGGTACTCTGTTGTTTGCTGCTGCTGCTTCTGCTTCTGTTGTTGCAATTGCTATTGCTACCAATTGTGCATGCAATTTATTTTAAAGAAATAATTGCTTTGCCGCATGTTGGCTTGGATTGCCTTGGTCCGGGCTCGGCTACTGCTTGCGATTATGCAAATATTAGTAGTATTCGAGAGTCCTCGTCCTCATCCTCAGCCTCATGCTCGTCGTGGACTCTGCTGTTTTTGTACGGCATTCCAATATAATAATAAAGAACAGCAAGTGAAAGAGTGGCCGGACGGTGTTTGCATATAATCTAATTTGAATTTGAATACGCCACACACAGTGCCACACACAGGCAACTCCATTCTCCCAGCAGCCAACACTTTGTGCATAAATCAAATTATTGGCCACGCAATTTCCTTCCGATTCTACATATTATTTGGATGGAGAAAGAGTCCATATTCCTAATGAATATATGGTACATATTTGCAAATACATCGTTGGGCCTCAGTTAATGTATCGGGAAAGACCAAACCCCTGTAAAAAACGGAAAAATTGAGTACAATCGGCTAGAACTTATGCATTTCGTTTCTTACCTGTATGCAGTGTTCAATAAATCCTCTTCCTGGACGTTTTCAGTCAAATCCCTAGCGTATTTCCACTAAAATATAAAGTTATTTAGTAACTAAGAGATTGCCTTCCACTTAATACCAGTGGTAACAAGTGCAGCCACGTCGTCCCACTCGACTACACTCTGCTGTTTAAATACAGCAGTTGCGAGAATCGCGCACTCACTGTGAATAGCTGATTGATATCTATTGCAGAATCTGCAACAAACTCATATCATTTGAGTACAGTTCCGCGAATCGCTTCAGAGGAAGAGCAAACTTTAGTGGCAATTCGCTGAGCCCTGCATCAGCATCAGCATCAGCCCGCAACTTTCAGCGAGAAATAAATAAAAATGTTAAAAAAAAACAGCAAACTGCAATTTGTTTTTTCCCTTTTTTTGGGTGGGTTGGTTAATGAAAGTGCCAGTAAATGTAATTGGCATCACGGTACCGTACCGCCACCCATTTCCCTCACACTTCGCTGGGTCCTTGGGCCAGTTCTTTCATTTCATTTCATTTCATTTTTGGCCAGAAGACATACACACACACACATATGTGGGCTTCGCCTCGCAAGAGTTTATCTTATAAAACAACAACAAGCACTTAAGTGTTATATGCCACCGTATTACAAATGCCGAGGCCTCAAAAACTCAGACAGAACGGGCCCTGGACCCGATATCATGTGCCTGCCGTGTCCCAGTCGCAGTCGGAGTCGGAGTCGGAGTCCCAGACGCAGCGTAGCATAAATGAAGAAAGCTGATAAGAATAAAAGGGCAACACAAAGAAGTTGGCGTTGAAGTTGAAGAAGAAGGCGGCAAAGGAGAAATTATTGCGACCCGCATATATGTATGGATTTGAGGGCGAATGAGAACCGAAATTGAATATTGCGTTTGGCGTGGAGGTCGTGGACAGGGTGACAAGCCACGCCAGTCCTACAGTACCCACAGGTGCACCCCAAGCCAAAGTGGCGGAGCGTACCTTGCTACCAAAATCGGGCCAAGTATTTAGCAATCTCGCCTTTAGCCAAACATTTTGACATGGGTTACAGCGGGCTATGTAGGTGAAAATGAGGCAGGCCAATGCCCAAGAGTGGCATGCCAAAAACCCTTTCCACGCCTGGGTGTTACACCTATGTCAGAGCACTGACATTTGGCGTTAACCACCAGGTCGGAGCTAAATAAAGAAAGTCTCTCCGGCACAGCCGCAAATCATAACGTATCATATCACATCATATCGGAGTATAATTTTTAATGAGTTGGATTTCTGCGGGGCGAGCCAAGACTCGGAACAGTTCCCCCAAAAATGCTGTATTTCCGTTCATTATTTTCACCAATTCCCGTTTCGTATCTGTTGCACGTTTATGCATTCGTTTCTTGCTCTTTTTTTTTTTTTTTTTGGGTTGGGTTGGTTTGAACTTATCAGGGAAGCGTCATTGTCTGTCTGTCTCTGTCAGAGTGTGTTTGCGAAATGCTGCCAAAAGCACAGAAAAAACGACAGGTTACGCTATAGAGGAAGCCACGACTAGAGGAATACCCACTACACATATTACATGGCGTTCAAAACAGTCGCGGGAGTGGATTCCAATTTGAATTCGTCGCAAATACTCCTCAAAGTGTTGAGGGACAGCAAAACCCAATTGGAAAGTGCCAAAATATATCAAATTATTCTGTTGTCTGCCCTCTGGCAGTACTGGAACCGAAATGTCAGTGGTGGATAAAGGTGCAGATCTCCAATTAGCAGCTGTGGCCATTGCCATGTAAAATTATGTTCTCCGAGTCGCTCGTTTGACCAGTTGGAGTTATCCATCCAACAGCCACAACTTCCGTCACATAATAAATTCATAACAAATCAGACGCACACAACACATTCACGAGCAGCATATTCTACTCAGAACATGCGACATTATAATGCCACATTATGTTGCCAGTGCGTGAAAGAACCGTACATCATAGCATCGGAGCAACAATAAATCAAAAATCCACAAACATTGGCCACTGCCAACACACAAACACACACACACACACACACACACACATAGACTTACATGAACATGGATGTACACATGTTTCCTTGCGTCCACCATCCATGCAATGTTGTCTAGCAGCTGCCAAGGTGAGACAAACACTGAAATGCAACAGACCATTATTAAGTCGTTCCTTGGCAATGTTTCACCTTAAACTAGTATACCTTGGTGCCAGCGTCTCCTCCAGTCCCCTCCAATCATGGCACATATGTATGCCAGTGTGTGTTTGCATGTTTGTACATACGTGGAATTCGCAAAATTATTACACTTGACATGATTGAATATGCCGCAGAGTACCAGTTGCGACCACAGCTTATGCGGCGTCCGTCCGCAGGTGCCCAGCAAGTGGCTCTCCATTCTTCCATGCTATGGTGAAACATTCGCCGCGTCCGGTGGTTCTCGTTACCGATTCTGCTGCTCTGCTGCACTGCTGCTGTTGTGTCGACTGGACATACATCGTTTTTCGCTGTCTCTGTGGACAATTCCCGTTTCTGGGTTGCATGTAGTGTGCAGTTGGTGACATGCCGCATAAATGTAAGTGAATACAATGTTGTTTTAGTGGATTTACACTGCTA